GAGGGAGCGGGCGCTGTCAGAGGGTCGGCGCCGAGGGAGCGGGCGCTGTCAGAGGGAGCGGGCGCTGTCAGAGGGTCGGCGCCGAGGGGGCACCGCACCATCCCTGTACACCCACACAATATTACCTGTACTCTAGCCCGGATGACGTCCATTGGATTGGTGAGGGTGGAGGAAGTAGCAGCTGCTAGGGGTCCGGCCACCGCCTGGACCAGCAGGTGGGGGCAGAAACTGGGAGTCACGTAGGAAAGCTGCTCTAAAGACAGAGGAAGAGAAAGAAAGGACTCATTAAAAGCTGAACAAATTAGTGTACCCCAGTGTTTTACAGTGAAAGAACTGTCCCCACCTGTACTGTACCCGAGTATTATACAGTGAGAGACATTACACGGTCAATGGTAGGGCCCTGGGAAGTATTATAGAACAAAGGGATCTAGGGGTTACAGGTCCATAGCTCCTTGAGGGTGGAGCCAGAGGTGGACAGGACGGTGAAGGCGGCATTCGGCATGTTGGCTTTCATTGGTCAGAACGTGGAGTATAGGAGTTGGGATGCCTTATTGTGGCTAAACAAGACATTGGTGAAACCACATTTAGAGTACTGTGTGCAGTTCTCATCACCCTACTATAGACAGAGTGCAAAAAAGATTTACTAGGATTCTACCTGGACTGGACTTTGAGTTATATGGATAAGCTGGGGCTTTTTCCCATGGAGTATAGGAGATGGTACAGTGGCTCAGTTGTCAGCACTGCTGCCTCACAGCACTGGGGACCCAGGTTCGATCCCAACTGTGTGCGTGGGTTTCCTCCAGGTGCTCCGGTTTCCTCCCACAGTCCAAACATATGCAGGTTAGGGTGGATTGGCTGTGCTTAAATTGCCCCGTAGTGCCCAGGGATGTGCGGGTTAGGGTGGATTGGCCGTGCTAAATTGTCCCGTTGTGCCCAGGGATGTGCGGGTTACGGTGGATTGGCCGTGCTAAATTGCCCCGTAGTGCCCAGGGATGTGCAGGTTAGGGTGGATTGGCCGTGCTAAATTGTCCCATAGTGCCCAGGGATGTGCGGGTTAGGGTGGATTGGCCGTGCTAAATTGTCCCGTAGTGCCCAGGGATGTGCAGGTTAGGGTGGATTGGCCGTGGGAAATGCGAGGTTATAGGGATGGGGTTAGGGGATGGGTCTGGGTGGGATGCTCTTCGGAGGGTCGGTGTGGACTTGTTGGGCCGAAGGGCCTGTTTCCACACTGTAGGGATTCTATGAAACTGAGGGGTGACCTTATAGAGGTCTATAGAATCACGAGAGGCATTGATAAGGTAGACAGCCGACAGCTTTTCCCCAGGGTACGGGAGTCTAAAACTAGACAACATAGGTTTAAGGTGAGAGGGGAGAGATACAAAAGGGCCCAGAGGGGGCAGTTTCTTCACACAGAGGGAGGGGAGTGTCTGGAACAGGCTGTCAGAGGTAGTGGTGGAGGCGAGTACAATTTTATCATTTAAGAAACATTTAGACAGGTACATGGACAGGATAGGGATGGAGAGATATGGACCAAACACAGATGAATGCGACTAGATTAACTGTTAAAACTGGGCACAATGGATACTTTGGACCAAAGGACCTGTTCCATGCTGTAAACCTCTACGACCCGTCCCCCACCAGTACTCCCCAGTGTTATACAGAGACAGACCCTGTCCCCACTGGTACTGTACCCCAGTGTTATACAGCGACAGACCCTGTCCCCACCGGTACTGTACCCCAGTGTTATACAGTGACAGGCCCGTTCCCCACCGGTACTGTACCCCAGTGTTATAGAGCGACAGGCCCGTCCCCACTGGTACTGTACCCCAGTGTTATACAGCGACAGACGTGTTCTCATTCCTTACCTGTGAGATGTGGCACTTGGGACATTGCTGTCTCTCTCTGCAACAACCCTCCCTCTCAATGTGCACAGTCTACCTGAAGTGTGCAGAGCTCTCCCCAACCACTCTTACAGTCTGAGGCCTGACCTCCATCCATCACGCCCTGAATTGCTCAGATCCCTAATGGGAGCCAGTGGAACCAGCTTTCCTGATGCCCCTTGGCTAATGCTCAGGGGGCATGGGTTTGAATCCCACCATGGCACCCCCGGTAGAATTTAAATTCAGTGAATCAAATTCGGAATTGGAAGCTAGTCTTGGGGTTGGTGACCGTGATGACAGTCATCAATTGTGGTAAAAACTCCCATCGCGGGTCACTAAGAGGGGGGGAACTTCAGCTGCAGCTATACAGGGTGCTGGTGAGACCATACCTGGAGTACTGCATACAGTTTGGGTCTCCTTACTTGAGAAAGGATGTACTGGCACTGGAGGGGGTGCAGAGGAGGTTCAGTAGGTTGATTTGGAATTGATAGTGTTGGCTCATAAGGACAGATTGAGTTGACTAGTCATTAAAGTTAAGTCGCACGGGATCCAGGGAGAGCTAGCTAATTGGATTCAAACTTGGCTCGATGGTA